CTTACTCCAAGAGATTGGAGTACTAATATTTGGGTTAAAACAGAATTTTCACGTTAATGTAGAGAAATTCACAGCCTGATACCCCGACACCACACTTTGGGCTTGGGCAAACACGCCTGGCCAGTCCAGAAACTGCTGTCCACGCCCTTTTAAAAAGGACAGCGCCCTTCCACGGCCCCGCCCCCTGAGGGTTCAGAAGTAAACGAAGGCGCTAACCGTAGCCTCCCCTTAAAGGGGAAATTCATTTCTGTGGTCTAAAAAACGAAACCTCCCCCAAAACCCTGCCCTAAAGCAAAAAAACGCCCCCCACACCCCCAACTCCAGTTAAAAGGGTAAAGTCCCCGCTGGGCCCCACCTACCTGCGCTGTTACTTTGTACTCGGTGTAGCCCTTGGGGTGGGTCCTGGGGTCGGAGACAGTGTAGTGCCGCAAGAAGTCATCCTTCGCCTGGCGGGACATGACAACTGAGCTGGAACGGAGGTGACCGCCGGCCTCCACCTCCTCCACGCCTCCCCCACCCCTCCGGGCCGGCCTCCGCCAGCCGCCGCCTCGCCCGGGCCTGCGCCCTCCTTCCTCCGGCCCAGGGAGCTGGTCGCAAGTGACAGCGCCGTTCTCGACCCGGGAGCGCGGCCAAGGGAGCGTCTGAAAAGTTCCCAGTCATTGGTGAAGCGTACACCTAGGCAATTTGAGAGTAAGGATTGGTTGGGGAGGTTCTGATCCCTCCTCTCTTCTCTGCCGGGCTATCAAGCCTACCCTATCCGAGCGTAAACGCTCACCGCAGACCTCCAAACGACTTCTGCCTCGCTTCCCGATTCCTTTCTTTCATCCACCCACCCAACATTTCTTGTGTCCAATATGTGCCAGGCGTAGCCAAATTATTTCCCTGTCTCCCTCCACAAGATTCGTTAATTCGTGTTTTCTGGAAACGTGGGGGAAGCAAAAAAAAAAAAAAACGCTGGAGAAGGAGGATGGGGCCATGGGCTCTGAAGTCACAACTCTTACTAACTGCATGAGCTTCCCTTCACTACAGGTTGGGGAATGTTTATAATAGAATCTACTGCCCTGGAGGTTTTTTGCAGTGGGTTTGCCTCCCGGAATACAGGTGTGGTGAAAACCACCGCTAAATCAAAGCCGAATGAGAAAGGAAAAGACTCCTGTCAACAGAGTTGTCGCTGAACGTGTAGTTTCGGGCAAGTCCACCACTACTGGCCATCCTCCGATCTATAAGTGTGAAGGGATCAACAAAAGAATCCTGGAAAAATTTGAGGAGGAGGCTGCTGAGATGGGAAAGGGCTCCTGCAAGCCTGGGTCTTGGCTAAGCTGAAAGCTGAACGAATGTGAGGGTGGTTTAACCACTGATACCTCCCTGCGGAAATGTGAGGCCAGCAATTACCATGTGACCACCATGGATGCCCCAGGGTGCAGAGACTTCATCAAAAACCTGGTTACAGGCATATTTCAGGCTGACCGTACTGTCCCGATAGTTGCTGCTGGTGTTGGTGAACTTGAAGCTGGCATCTCTACGCATGAGAGGAGCACAGTTGGGTGCAAAAGCACTAATTGTGTTAACAAAATGGATCCCACTGAACCAAGCTGCAGAGCAGGGGTGGGAGGGAATCAGTAAGAAAGTCAGCACCTACATTAAGAAATTGGCCACAACCCTGACACAGTAGCGTTTGTGCCAATTTCTGGTTGGAATGGTGGCAACAGGCTGCAGCCAGCTGCTCACTGGTGTTGGCTCAAGGGATGGAAAGACACCCGTAAAGATGGCAGTGCCAACAGAGCTATGCTGCCTGGAGCTCTGGACTTCATCCTGCCTCCGCCTGACGAGCCCTTGGACATCCTGACACCTCCAGGATGGCTACGGAATTGGTGGGATTGGTACTGTTCCTGGGGGCCGAGTGGAGACTGGTGTTCTCAAGCCCCCCCATGGTTGGTCACCTTTGCTCCAGTCAACATTACAACCCAAGCAAAATCTGTAGAAATGTACCATGAAGTTGTGAGGCTTAGATGCGATAGCGTGGGTGCCGCGCTCACAGAAGAGCCGCTCTCGTTACTGGAACTCAGATGTACAGGCGCCCTGCCTCGTGTTCAGGAAGAAACAAGCGGCCTCCTGGGAATCTGACTCTGGAGGCTCTGGAAGGGGTGGTTCCTCCAGGAGGTGCTCAGGAAGAGCTGGAGATGTCCCTTCGCACAACGCACACCACGACTCCTCTGAAGACCGCTTTACGCGAAGCTCCCACTCTCCAAAGTTCCCTCTGCTGCCTGGCTTCCTTCTCACCTTCTTTCTTCCTGTCCTCTCCGAGCCCTTTTCCATCGAGGGGCATCTGGCCTCTGGCCTCAGAGCTCCAGCCCCGCCAGCTCCATCACCAGAAGGGGCAAACAGAAGACGGCAGGGGACAAAGAAAAGCTACAAAGGCGCCGGGCAGGGGTCTGCTCGCCCACGGGATGGAGACTTTCTGCCACAGATCTTGGTGATCATTGTAACTTTATTATTTTCTTATTTGTCTCTAACCACGAATAATTCATCTTTGCAATCAGGGTGTTGCTTCCTACGGGCCCCCAGGAGGATTTGAACACTGGAGTGACTCACCCGTGATAGTGGCTCACTGATGCACGTGGGTTGAATTTGCTTAAGCTCCTACTAGTTCAAATAATAAAATGATGGCTGACACTTACATAGGGCTTATGACATACAAGACACCAACCCATCTGGTGCTCATCCCAATGCTAGGAGGCACAGACAGGTTAGGCAACTTGCTCAGCATCAAACGGCGAGTGGCAGAGCCAGGATTTGGCTCCGGAGCCCGGGTATGTTCGCTTACCGCAGGCTTCGAGACCTGCAGACCACAGTATGTGTCTGTGAGGAGCTCAGGGCAGGGGCTTCTAACTTGCTGCGCTGAAGGGCAGTCCGTTTATGTTCTAAGGTCGTCCACCCAACATTCATTTCCCTTCTGCTCTAACGAAACCCAGATTTTGCACAGGTCTCTACCCCTCCAGGAAAGGATCCTAGTGCCAGCTTCAGAGTAAGTCCCCGTGCTCTTCCTCACCTTTTGACAATAGCATTCAACTGTCCCTTAGGAAAACCGCCCTTCCCCCACTGGACACAGTCTGGTGGGATTGGTGGGCAGCAAGTCCTCACCCACAGGTGGGCATGGGCTTCAGGCTGGGCCAGGCAGGCTCTCTCTCCCAGGCATTTGCATTCTGAGCAGAGGCCAAGCTGAAGATGATTGGGCCTGGGCTAGCACAGGAGGCAGCAGGGTGTAGTGGCCAAATATGCGGGGTGAAATCTCAGCTCCCCCACTTCCTAGCTGGGAGACGATGAGCAAGTCACTTAACCTCCCGCGGGCTCAGTTTCCCATATAGAAGAGAATACTGCGCATGCACTGCATCGGCAAGCGCATGGTGCTTAGAACAGAGCTCTGTAGGGTAAGCAGCTGTGAGGACCAGCCGTGAAAACATCCCTCAGCCTCCCCGCTTGGATTGAGGCCCTGCTTCGGAGTGCCCTATAGCCTTCAGGGAAGGCCTTAGCTACCCCTGCCTGATGGAGCCACCCTCCCTCCCTCTCCCTGCACACCCTTCTATACCCAACTTCATGCCCTTGCCCTTCATGCCTCTGTTGTGTGATTCCCTCTGCCTGAACCTGTGCCGCCTCGTACAGCTGTGCAGGTTGTCCACTGCACATGGGTTCCTGCCTGCGACGAGTTGGGAGCTGATCTCAGCTCGTGTTCCATTCAACAAGCTGTGAGCCCCGGTCTGGGGCTGCTCCCTTTTTCAAATTCACACCTATGAGGGTTGCAGTTGCTCTGGTGAACTGTCCTTCTTTTCCTCTATCCAGAAAACTTCTATTCATCCTTCACACCCAGCTTTAATGTCACCTCCTCTGGGAAGCCCACCTAGACTCTTCCAAAAGAATGAGCTGCAGCCCTGTCCTGTGCTTCTAAACTTTTGCACATCCCTTTGACACAGCAGCAGTTACCCCTCGACTGAAATGATCTCTTCCTCTCTGTCTCCTGCAGGACTGTGGGTTCCCAGGTGGTCTCTAATGCTGTTGAATCAACAAATGACTCAGCCAGGAACCAGGGCAAGGAGTGGTTTATTCTCACAGCTGAGCAATGGATGAGGCCCACAGCCTCAGCAGCAGCAGAGGCAGCCCCTCCCAGCCCCAGCCCTCTCTTCTTGGTATGTCAGTCGCAGGCCAGGCCAGGAGCCAGGGTGACAGCCAGAGCACAGCCCTCCCACCATGGGAGCTGGCTGGCCAGAGCAGCAGCGGGCAGCAGTAGCAGCAGCAGGTTACAGAGTCGGTGGGGGAGTGTTAGTGCGACTGGTCCCATCCCCCCATGGATAGTGTCTGGTGAGGGCAGAGGGTGGGGGACCTGGGCTGCGAGGTGGGGCAGCATCCAAAGTGGCTCAGTCAGCTGTGAATATGCGGCTGGAAATGTCATCCAGGAGCCAGTCGATGCCAGGCAGCAGGTTCTCCCCGGTCACGGCACTGCAGCCCTGGATGCACCAGTGGTGGCTGCGGATGGAGTCCAGCTCCAGGGCCTGGGAGGACGGAAGGTGCTGGTGGTGGCTAGTGACCACAGACACTGTCTGTCCCCAGCCCCTTCCTTCTCCTGGCCCAGGGGAACTCTGCACCTCCCCGAGCCCCTGCTCAAGGGTCACCCCATCTAGGCAGCAACCCCTGGCCTCTGGTGAGGGTTTGTCAGCCCCCAGGGCACCGGGGCTCTCTGTACAGTGTCTCCCCCGTGCCACCCCTTAGTGATGTAACAGCAATAAGGGCTCCTGAGCATCTACCAGGATCCAGGCAGTGTACTAGGAACCCTACATGACCTCTCATCCATTCCTCCAAAGCTTCATGAGCCAGGGACTGTGTTGGCCATTTTATAAAGGAGGAAACCAAAGCTCGGAGAGGTTACGCAACCTGTTTGAGGTCACATAGCTAGTAAGTGGCAGAATCAAGACTCTAACCCGGCTCTTTCTCACTACAGTGCTTTAGCACTAGAATAACAGTTAAGAGGCAGGCTCTGAGGTTAGACAGGACTTCTTGTCTACTTACTGGCTGTGTGATCTTGGGCAAGTTACCTAACCTCTCTGAGCCCACTTTGCCATCTGTAAAATGATAATAACTGTTCTTACCTCATGAGATTGTGGTGAGAATGAGATGAGTTAGTCCATGCAAGCACATAGCAAACAGAAAGCACTCATTATGTGCTGGCCACTGTTATCCCGCGGAATAACTTATTCACAGGTCTGCTTTCTCCCATGCCCTGGGCCACCGCTACACCTTATTAACCAGTGAACTGTCAGTGCCCCGCGTAGGTCCCGCCACACAGCAGGGGTTAATACATGCTTTAAAGTAAATTAATAAAGAAACGCGAGCCCCTTTTCCTCAGAGAGCCTGCCCTAGGGCCCGACTCACCTCTCGGATGGCATTAGAGGACAGTGCTCCAGGCAGGTCCTGCTTGTTGGCAAAGATGAGGAGGGTTGCTCCGGCCAAACGCTAGGGGAGAGAAAATACAGGGGTGGGGTGGCGACTCAGAGGACAGCCTGACCCCTCCTCTAATGGCCCCGAGCATCTGGGGTCAAAGATCAACCTGGAAGATCAGGGCAAGGCCCCTGGTGGTGGGAGAGGCCCAGGTGGGTGGGCAGTGTGGACACAGCCACGGAGGCCCACCCCCACGGGGTGGAGGGAGCCTTGGGCTGGGCTGGGGTTCTGGATCCAGCCAACCACCAGCCAGTGGGCACCTCTCTCTCTCATGCCTCAGTTTCCTCTTCCTAACCAGGAAGGGAGTATGGGATAAGATGATCCCTGAGCCCCTTGTGGCTCTAGACTGCTCCGATCTGATGACCTGCCATGCACAGAGAATGTGAGCGTCCCGGGGGCCCATGAGGGTCTCCTGGAAGTGATCTTTCCCTCTCCCAAGTTCACATAGCCCCTTGGCTGTTCCACTCCCAACAGACCTCACTCTCTGCCTCAGATTCTAGTTGTTTCCATATACGTGTTCGTGACTGGGAGACTCTGCATGTGAGTAAGTGAATCTGACCCTTTGGGCTTTGACCTCCCAAATGTCAGCACTGGACAGCCATGATCTCATCTGAACTGCCTGACACCCCCAGGAGGGGTTACTGTTACAGCCAGTGACCACATGTCCCTGTGTACCTAGGACCATTTATACCTGTTGTCCCTCCATAATTATTAACAACTCCCTCTTTCATTCTCAAAAGTATCCTGGTTTTCAAGTAAATGTAATGTAGTGGCCAGGCGTGGTGGCTCACGCCTGTAATCCCTGTGCTCTAGGAGGCCGAGGCGGGAGGATCGCTTGAGCTCAGGAGTTCGAGACCAGCCTGAGCAAGAGCGAGACCCCGTCTCTACTAAAAATAGAACAAATGAGCTGGGTATGGTGGCACATGCCTGTAGTCCCAGCTACTCAGGAGGCTGCGGCAGGAGGATCGCTTGAGCCCAGGAGTTTGAGGTTGCTGTGAGCTATGATCACACCACTGCTCTCTAGCTGGAGCAACAGAGGGAGACTCTGTCTCTAAATAAATAAATACATACATACAGACATACAAAAATGCAATGTGGCAACCTGAATCAAATCTTGGAACAGAAAAGGCACATTAGTAGAAAAATGGTAAAACCCAAATAAAATCTGTAGTTAAGATAATAATTCACCAATGTTAATTTCTTAGTTTTGACAGATATACCACAGTTATATAAGATGTTAACATTAGGGGAAACACAGTGAAGGGTATATAAAATATCTCTATACTATCTTTGTAACTTTTCTGTAACTCTGAAAAATGTTTTGGACCAGACAATAAATTATAAAATCACCTTAATTATCATCCCCATTTTAGGGGTGAGGAAGTGGAGGCTCAGAGAGGTTATGCACCTTGCCTAAGATCACACAGCAAAGAGTCAGACTCCTGAGCCAGGCTCCACAGCCTCCCAAAGCTTCCTACTGGCCTTGGGTCATCCTCCCTAAAGCTCAGTGATGAGGGTGTCATCAAGCCCCATTTCAAGGTACAGAAACTGAAGCTCAGAGTAGTGACAGAGTGACACCACACGGACATGATCCCAGGTCTCAGTCTACAGAATGTGTCCTGCCTCTGGCACTGAGAGCCTCCCATGGTGGGGGCCCAGTAGAGAACAGTCCCTGCCCCAGGCAGTCCCTGCCCCTCTGGGGTCATGGACCCCTCTGGGAATCTGCTGAGAAAAGTGTTCACAGGTCCACGGGTGTGCGCGAAGTGCGGGGGCGGCCCACCTCCTCCACCAGCAGGCTCTGCAGCTCCCTCTGGCAGTCCTGCATGCGCTGGCGGTCGGCGCTGTCCACCACCCAGATGAGGCCGTCGGTGCTCTCAAAGTAGTTCCGCCAGTAGGACCGCAAGGACTTCTGGCCGCCCACATCCCAGATGTTTAGCTTGAATCTGGGCAGGGAGGGGATGGCCGGAGGGTCAGCTGGCCCCCTCTTACATCCCCCCTGCCCTGCTCTGGGCTGGCCCACCCACAGGGACCCTGCTCACCCTCGGTGCTCCAGCGTCTTGATATTGAACCCCAGCGTTGGGGAGATGGTGTCGATGTCTTCCCCATTGAATTTCTTGAGAATGGTTGTTTTTCCGGCATTGTCCAGGCCGCTGGGACACATGAGGTTAAGGAGAAGTCCCTGTGCTTTGCCAGGTGGTGACATCATCACAGTGCCCCTCTCTTAGGGGACTAATCGTTTCCCACCACGTATCAAAATGAGTGGAGCACATGCCTGGCCCATGATAAATGTGAAAATATCAAGATATAAATATTTTATCACCTCTGCTGACCAAAAGCTCCTTAATTCATGTCACAAATATATATCTGTTGAATATTTACTACATGCCAGACCCTCTTCTGGGTGCTGGAGGACAAAGTCCCTGACCTTATGAAGCTTACACTCTAGTGGGGAAACAGCAGATAAAGTGCAAACCAGAAAATAAGGCACC